ACCTTAACCCTATAATCCTGTGAATTTTTTTCCCCACCTATGAAAGTTTGTAAGCCAACCACTTCATGCCTTTATCTCTCCAAGTTTTGCATATCCAATTTATATACTGCCCACTTACATCAACCCAGTTCTCAGAGAAGACAATCATATTTTTCAACACTAATAGTCTTCATTCCAGTTGGAACCTTGTGAAGTCTGCATCCATAAGCAAAGTCAAATCTGGACAGGCCATCCATAAAGTCAGCAACAATAACAATGTTAGTTATGTTGATTTCATTGTTCTTTCTAACTAAAGAATGAAAATAATAAAAAGTAACCTTTTGGGGGTTTAATACAGTTGATGAAATTTCAGGTGTATTATATGATCAGAAAAGGGAAAACATGCCACAGAAACTGAGGATAGAAATAGGATGATCAAAATTTATGAAAATACAAACATGAAGTACTATAGTGATTGAGTCTAAATAAACAGGCTTATGAAAAATTAGAATAACATTGTTAAAAGTTGAATTTCCTACAAATAGATGTTATGAGACCAGTCCTGGGAGAAGGTAGAAAGACAATGAAAAAGAGAAAGACCCTTGACAAGGTGGGTCGACACAGCGGCTACAACACTGGGCGCAAACACAAGGACGATTGGAAGGGTGGTGGTGTAGGAGCAGGCAGTGTTGGGTTCTGTTATACTTAGTGTCCCTATAAGTCATAGTCAACACAGTGGCATCTAACAACCAAAGAATTTATGATGGATTGGTTGCTTATAGGTTGACTGAGGAGGTAAATCCGCAAGGCAGTGAGTGAGGCAGGTGGAATGTATAGCGGTTGAGAATGATCCATAGGGGATTGAAACTATGGACAGCCCTGTGGGGAAATTCTGGAGCCAAGGTGGTTCCTGGGAGTTGCTTTTAGTTGAGACAAGTGAAGTAAGCTTTTATGTCCTTCTATTAAGGATATGCCATCCTTAATGCGAGGCCACCCTCTGAGTGGGACATAACTTTGGATGAGACAGTTCATTGCAGCCAGGACTACCCAATTAGGAATACAGAGCTGTGATTACCAGATGAGGAATGAGTGCATCCGCTCCAACTAGGGGTTGGCACAGAGGATCATAATATCACTAGGGCAGTGGTTCTCTACCTTCCTAATGCCATGACCCTTTAATACAGTTCTTCGTGTTGTGGGGACCCCCAACCAGAAAATTATTTTTGTTGCTACTTCCTAACTGTAATTTTGCTACTGTTAATAATCGGGTGATCTCTGTGAAAGGGTCATTCGACCCCCAAAGGGGTCACAACCTACATACCGCTGACTTAGGGGAATAGTACAAAAACGGAGTTCAGACTGAAAAATGAAATCATATTAGACCAAAGAAGTAGATGATGTGCAAAGAGGAGCGTTAAGGGACTTTTAGTAGTTGGTAAGGATCATTGGTGGAAATATGGGTTAGACACTGAGCTGGTAAATATCAAGTTGGCAGTTCAAACACACAAGAGAAAGACGAGATTCCCTGAAATATTTACAGTTTTCAAACCCTGTACAGGGTTGCTATGAGTCTGAATCAATTATATAGCAGTGGGGGTTAGTTTTTTGTTAGAAGATAGTTTGTCTTTTTGGTTTCCCTTGCTTTCATAGATTGATACATGCATCTTTCATCTGGTTTCTCTAAACCAGAATCTAAAACCAAACTCACTTCAATCAAATCTCTTCAGACTCACAGTGACCATATAGGACAGGCTAGAACTGCCCCATGTAGGAAAAACCTCTAATAGAATTACCACAGATATTAACAAATATAATTATTTATTAATCTTTTTAATTCTGGAGCAAATAACTTTTTTTTCTGTAAAGGGCAGGATAGTAAATATTTTAGACTTTTCAGGACTTTTAAAACATTTTTAATAAATCATCTTATTAGGGGCTCCTACAACTCATCACAATCAATACATACATCCATTGTGTCAAGTACATTTGTACATTTGTTGCCATCATCATTTTCAAAACATTTTCTTTCTACTGAGCCCTTGGTATCAGCGCCTCATTTTTCCCCTCCCT